CATTAGGATCTTTGGTGTAGCTTCCTGAGCCCATCCCAAATTTCAGAGCAAAGTCACATGCTTGCTATCCTGCCCTACCTACCAATGGAGTCTTGTACCTGGCGGTGTTGCTTGGGATTGGAATAGTGTACATAAAGCTAGACCCTTGGCCACTGGGCCAATGCTGACTTGGGTTGTGCTTGAGTCTTAAAGTAATGGGACCAGCATTGTCTCAGGTGTGCACTGAGACCCAAGTCACAGTTAGTGATGACACAGGCCAAAACATCCCTAGCTGCGTGTCTCTCCCTGCAGCCAGGGCAGTTTTAGGGCCCTGTGTGTGCACATGGGCCTGATGAGGTGGTGCTGCCCAGCTTAGGAGATAGTGGGTAGGGACAGTCATGTCGCCAGCTGGTCCTGAGCTGGGTCATGCCTGACTATTGAAGTCATGGGGGCTTGCAGAGTCTCAGGAAGAGGGCATGTGTGAACTGGACCCACTCTATGGATGGAAAATATGTGGCCAGGAGACAGGACAGCTAGTTGGGAACTAGAGGGGATATGAGAAAATAATGGGTGCCTGTACTCTGTGGGTTCTGGTTTAAGCTTCTCTCTGACGGACACCTAGGGATTTCTACAAACTGACCAGATCTCCTGTAGAACTATACTTACTCCTCTGTCTAACCAATAGCACTAATAGATTAGATTTTAAAATGGCTAAAGAATCATGTCCTGAGTCTATCCTGATTGTGACCCGTGAATAAATAAGGATTCCTGTGAGCCATGTCCTATCACTAGTCCTGCCAATCCTTCCTGTAAGCCTACATGATGACCTGAAAGCTTTCTCTTCAAGAATAAAAAATTTTGACTAAGAAAAATAGCATGCCAGCACTTCCATTAAACAGCTTCAGAATCCGCTTCTGACATAACTAGCCAGTGCTGAGACACCTAGCTCCAGTCTTCTTCTTGCCTGCTTTCACTCTCTCTTTGAATGTGACCGCCCTCCCCCTTAATCAATGAGCTCACTAGCTTTCCTTCACTCTACTTGTCTTCTTTCCTGCCAGGCACTCAAGGTACACTTGGGTAGATGCCCCTGATGGGCTCCTCAAGCTGTACAGCTACAACGTGGAGGGAGTTGCATTCCTCACTTCCAGAGCAGTGAGAAACTCATGCTCCCAGTGCTCAGGTCCCTGCCCAATGCGGAGCTGGCCTTGAGGCTCTTACCCAAGCCATGGGAGTGGTTGGGGAATATGTGGAAGGGAAATGAAGGGGTCATAGATGTTGTCTAAGCTTTTGGCTTGGACCATTAAGGGGGTATGCCAAGTCTATACATTGTGTGTGAATGTAAAATCGAAAATTGTGCGTAAAATTCCCTGACGAGTTTTATTTTTATTATTTTATTTATTTTTATTTTTGTTTTTTTTGAGACAGGGTTTCTTTGTGTAGCTTTGCGCCTTTCCTGGATCTCGCTCTGTAGCCCAGGCTGGCCTCGAACTCACAGAGATCTGCCTGCCTCTGCCTCCCGAGTACTGGGATTAAAGGTGTGGGCCACCACCGCCCTGCTTCACTGACGAGTTTTAAAGCATACATTTCTTATGTATACGACTAAAATCAGCTGAATGTGGCGATTAGTACACAGAGATGGTCATCCCAGGATGTAGATGGAGAACCCAGGGCTAGGAGATGGCAAACATTTCCCCGCTCTAGGGCGGCCTGAGTTGCCTCTGAGACAGATGTGGGTTCCTCCCTGCCCCCTCCCCTGCTTACACATGGAAAAGCAAAGTATGCCAGAAGTCTGAGTTCTATGAGCTCTAAAACGCAAAAATGGCTCAGAGGAGAGAGATCATGTAATCGAACTCCTTGAGAGTTTTATGAACACCTAGGACCTTTGTAGGAAAATTCAGGAAAAATTTACATACACATCGGTGGACTAGATCCTTCTTTCTTCCACCCCCTCCCCCCCAGCTCATGGGATTAGGTGACTTCCAAAGCTCTTTCGTGGTCTTAAACTCTGATTTTATGGTTCTCCAAACAAAGATGTACCCTCTGCGGTGCCTTCAATCACCTTATCTCTTCCAGAGAAACATGGATAAAATGCTGCTGCCTTTCTTAGCAGCTCTGTTCTTTTTTCCCCCTTTGAATTACTCCACTGTCTATTTAAAGTGGTGTCCCTAGAGGCAAAGGCTATCTGTCTTAGTATTTGTTCCAGCAACTAGAATGCAGTTGGATGCTTAACGATGCCTAATTATAATAATAGGGATCATGGTATAATGCCATCTGTAAACCTCGATAAGCTTACGATAGCATCATAATATTCTAAAACTTGTACAAAATAGTTGGTTGGCAGCATTTAAGGGAATGTATGAGAGACTTTGTGCTTATGTCTTGTAATACAGGGTTAATTAAACATCTCCAGGAGTTCATCTCTAAGACTCCATGTCTTTTAGTATATAGATGGAGATAGATATATGTTCAAAGATTATTTGAAGTTGTCAGAATTAATCACTAGACCTACTGAGAATTGTAACTAAACAGTCAAGGTCAACTTTCTATATATCACCTAGAGCGTGATAGGTTTCGTTTGGGAAGTGATGTTTTCTAGCTGGTTGAAACATGCCAAACACTTAACTGCTTTCTTAAGCAGATTATCTGGAACACAGCCTCCCCTTATGAGTATTGATTATTATATTTGTAACTGTGATCCGATGCTGAGAGAAAATGGGCTGGAGCCCTGGCGGGGCAGAGGAGATGTTCTGAATTCTTAAAGAGAGACACTTGTGCCCTGCTGGAGCAGAAGAGATGTTCTGAATTCTAAAGAGAGACACTTGTGCCCGTCTGTGCTGAGAACCAAGGCAGCATGGCCAGCCCAGGGCCAGGGTGGGCAGCCTGCTGGGAACGGGGGCAATGGGCGCAGCCTGAGGACTGGTCTCCTTTCTTGCAGGAAAGGGTTACTGAATTGTTTCAGACAAACCTACCTGCCTTCAGGCCTTGGTTTCACTGTCTTCTAGAATTATAAAACTGCTGCAGACATGGTGGAGAAGAAGGAGATTGGTTTTATTTTTCTCGTCTGTTCAAGCCAAGTTGTAAATAAACTCATTTTCCTTGACCAAGTTCTGTTTCCCGATTTCTTTCAGAATACAGGGAAATGAAGGTGATAGGTTGTAGCTTTGGAGGACCAACAATATGTTGAGCTATGGACTTTACTATTCTTTAGGCCTAGGCAATTTTTTTTTGGTGTGTGTGTGTGTGTGTGTGTGTGTGTGTGTGTGTGTGTGTGTGTACATAGTATATGCACAAATATGTGTCCTTTCAGGATAGAGAGGAGTATGCCTGGTGTCTTTTCTGCCTTGAGACAGGGTCTTTCATGAAGCTAGAGTCCTAGCAATCCTCTGGTCTCCACTTCATAACACTGGGGTTGCAGGCATTTGTGGCCATGTCTAGCCTTTTATGTGTGTGCTGGGGATTTGAACTCAGGTCTTCATGTCTACATGGCAAGCACTCCTACCCACTGAGCCATCTACCGAGTCCAGCCCATGCAATCCCATTGTCTACTCAAGTATGTGCATGATTGCTTGCCTCGACACTAACTGGCTTCAGATTTTGATGTTAGAGAAATCCAAGCACATAGTTCAAAGAGATAACTACTACTTTTTGTTTGTTTGTTAAGACAGAATCTCACATAGCCCAGGCTGGCCTAAAACTTGCCATGTATCTAAGGATGATATTGAATTTCTGATCCTCCTGCCTCCACCTCCCAAGTGCTAGGTTTATAGGTGTGCAGAGATAAACAATTCTTTAAGGACTGTTAAGAACCCCATTGTCCCCATCTGCCTTGCTTCTGTTTCCTCTTCCCTACAGGGAGCTGCTTTCATATAGCTGATTAGAAATTGTCCTTCCATATCTATAAATAACACGGTGGTGCTCTTACCTCTTGATTCTTCTCTGTTTGGCTACATCTATTGGCTTCTCACTAGGGAAGATGGGATTTCATTCCTGCTTTTCCTCTCTCTGCTACACATGCTCACTCCCTATCCTTCAAAGATAATTTATCATAATCTCAGCTAAATCAACAGTCAATGTTTACATTATTATGACTTTATATGCTATTCAGAATTCAGTCATGTAGAAAACTATAATTACTTTCCTTTTCCTGAACAAGTTTTTGTTTTTCTCCCCAAGTTAATAATCATTTTTTTTGTTCTAAAATTTGCTTTACTTTTCTGTGTGTTATTTCTGACTCAACCCATTGTCTAAATCAATGCTTCTAAAACTATCTGGGATGAATGATTAGTTCTTTTTAAAAAATTCTAATCTGTGGCAGACAGATACTTTGTTAAAATACAGCGAAAACACATTTCTTGAACAAGCCGTTCATGGACAGCACCTGTTGGCCAGCCACATTCTGTAGAATTCAGTTCAAGTTGCCTCTGATGAGTCTAACCATCCCATGTTCTATTGGCTATCTTTTAAAGGAAGCTTCTTGAAAGCCTTTTGACACACCAGGGTGGGCTGGTGGCCTCTTTCTTTTTCACTTCCTAGCCACAAGTTGAGTGGTCTTGGTCTCTGCTTGGTGCCTCCACCATGACAGTCTGACATGGGTCTAAAGAACAGGACCAACTGATCATGCTCTGAAGCCCCCAAAATCATGAGTCATCCTCCCCCCTTTTATTTTTGTATGCTGATTATCTCGGGTATTTGTTACAGTGACTGAAAATACACAGAGACAATTCTCCCTCCTCCATTTTCTTTCTAGAAGTAGAAGTTTAGACATTGACTGCCTAGCTTGCCTCTCACATGGAGGTTTTGCACATAAACAAATTTGATTCTGGGCCCTCCATTCCCTAATACTGACTCTGAAATCAGCAACCTCTAGCTGCTAATCTACCCACTAGAGTTGTGTGTTCTGCACCCCCAAAGGATTGGTACATTTTTTATTGCAAGCTTTGTGGGATTTTGCAAGAGTTTAAAATTAAACTTGTGTTTCTTTCACCATCTCTACACTACCTGGATCTGCTTTCTCTTCTCAGGTTGTCAACTATACCATCCTTCCAACCAAGTAGCATGGTAGCTGAGGATGTAGCTGCAGGAGTCCAGAAGCTCACAGGTATATCTCCTAATAGCTATGGGGTCTGGACCAATCATGTCATCTTTCCAAAGTCCAGATTTTTCATCTGTCTGATGGGGACAACAATCATACCAGCTCCATATGAGTGTGTAAACACTGTAGGATGTGCATGCCTTCATAAATGGAGGCTGTTACAGCTAGCACCACTAAAGGTTTCATAGTCTCTTTTTCTTCTCTATCACAGAAAATCTATGGGCCATAAAACTGCACTGACATACAAGTTAGACTGAAGTAAGTTCTCTGTGTGTGTGTGTGTGTGTGTGTGTGTGTGTGTGTGTCGCTTTCCTAAGGTGAAATAGATGATTTTTTTCATCCATTTTGTGGCATCTCTTCTGACTACCCCAGTTGAGATACTGAGTTCATACATTCTTCTGGAGCAGCCAGAAGGTGAATCTTATCATGAAATTCCTAGAACTTTCTCGATGACAGAGTCCAAGAAAAATGTCCAGTTGTTGTCTTCTGCCTCTGGCTTCGTGTTCCTGCTGCTGAAGCTTGTGGTTCCAAGCTCTTCTTTACTTCCTCCTCTTCTGAGTTCTCCTCTGCCAGTTCAGCAGCGCCCAGAGCCAAGGCTGTGACCCTCCTCCAAGAGTCAGCCCAGTGTTCACCAGTTTTTGTGAAAAGCTTTTTTTTGATGTTCCTCGACCCATATCCCTTTCTCTCAGTCTCCACACTAGCTTAGCATGTCTGCTGGGCTTCACCAGCTGGGGCCTTTGTGACTCTTTACTGTAGCTGCTGTGTGTGTGGATAGGTTCTTGTCTTAAGCTTAAACCACAAACTGGTGCCTGGTATATCTTCAAAATATATAACTTAAAATGAGCTTTATTTGTTATTAAATGTATGAATGAAGAGATTTCAGATAATATTTTTGTGTGTACATAAAGAATACAATTATTGAATAGAGGAACTTAAATATGTCATCTCCCCCGCCCAGCTATTTTTCTTCTGTCCTGCCTTTTTTATTTTTCTTCCTTTTCCCTCCATCCCTCTCTCCTTCCCTTCTGCTCATCTCTTTTTTTAAATGTATGTTTATGGAAAGACTTTCCTTTCTTGTTGCTCCTGAAACAATGCACTGTTTACATGGCATTTACATCATTTCAGGTATTTTCTGTAGTCTAGAGATAATTTAAATGGGAAGATACGTGCAGATTTAAACGTAAGTAAGTGGCACATCCTTTCTAATGAGGCTCTTGAGCACCCAGGAACTTTGGTACTTGCCTGAGGAGGGGCTGTGGGAACCTAGCTGACCTCCCTTCAGGGACTCTAATCCTGACACATGGTGTCAGGTCTCAGCTGCTCTCCACGACTTCCTCAGTCTTGTATCCCTCTGTCTTCAAAAAACAGTACCACCTGGGAGACTTACACATTGCCGAGCTAGGCTGGCAGCTTGAGATGCAGCCTTGGCTCCCTTGGACCATAGTGCCTGTGTGCAGAATCTGAAGAAGTAGTCTTCGGAAGATTAGCCTCAGTGATGCATGTATCTCAACCAATCACAGCCGATTTTCCAGCCACAGCTAACCACTGTCCACCGTCTGTTGGTCTAGCAAAGCAAAGGTTTCACTCCTACAGATTTTTAATTTAGATACAGCACACAAAGGCCCCCACAGAGTCTCGGGCAACTCTAACCTTCCTTAAGACTCCAGGGGCCAGAATTCTGTTTTCTGCTTTCCTCTCAGCATTCCCATCCTCTAAGCTTGCCCAGAAAAGCCCATGAAACTCTAAGTACTCGATGGTTTTTCCAGCTCACAGTTCTAAGTGCTTCCTTCCACAAGTGTGTCTCCAAAAACATGGTCAGGTACATTCCAGCAGCAACCCCATTTTTAGTACCGATTTCTGTCCAAGGTGCTTTCGGTTGTGGTGTTTGTCATAGCGATAGGAAGCCAACTAAGGCAAGTTTGTTGTTGTTGTTGTTGTTGTTGTTTTTTAAATCACCATACCAGGTAAAGAGACACAAACATTTGTCCAGGAAGGTCCTGTCTCCACCTTCCAAGTTGCTGGGGTTACAGCTCAGGCCTGCTGCCAGGCCCACCTAACTATGCCATATTTTTCCTCTCTACATTATTTACCTAGCCATTATTCTGAGAACTTTGACTGAGGTTCCAGAAATGGCCCCCTCCCATTTTCCTTGTCTCCCTGTCTGCGTACCAACTGGCCAATGGCCCTAGCATGGGCCTGATCCCCCCCCTTTAACAGTATCCAACCAGACAGTTTTGTCTCTTCCCCAACCACCCTAGCAGTAACATTCCAGTCACATTTGTGGGTGCTCATCACCCTTCCTAAAATATAAGCTCAGTTTCTAGTCAAATTAAGGCAGGGCAAGCTTAACATGTCTAATGAGGGAGCAGCTCACATGATTAAGAACAAAGGCCCGTGGTCACTGCAGCATGCACTTCAGACATGCAGCAGGAGGCCTCCTGTCCATCCACCAACAGACCCTGTCAAGTCCTGCTTTCCTCCCAGGTGCTCCTGATGGAATCTGGATTAACATCACGAGGATGCCGACGAACCAGCTCATTATCATCTTAGGAAAATTTCAGGGCTGAATCAAACACCAGACTTGATGTTCAAGATGTACTACCAACAGACATTTATTTAATGAACTAGTCTCTGCTCGCAGATGGAGGTTGGAGTTGTATTCGCATGCTCTAAATGTCAAGTGTGCATCTTTAGACTTAGTGGAAAGAGGAAAAGACAAAACACGAAGCACTGAACCTCGTTATGGGATCCCAAACAGAGGGACCCAGCCTCCCTCATCAGCTGGGTCTCATTGTTGGGGGAGATGGAGACTCGGAGTGAATCTAAGTGTCTGATTAGTGCCATTGTTCCAAATAAGTAGTGACAAGCCCTTGAGATTTCAGGTGAGAACTGGGCTCTTTGAAAGTGGTTTTTTTTTTTTTTTTCTCAGCTGGGTGTGGTGGCACACACCTTTAACCCCAGCACTCAGGAGGCGGAGGCAGGTGGATCTCTGAGTGAGTTCTGAGACAGCCAGGGCTACACAGAGAAACTCTGTCTTGAAAAACAAAAAACAACAACAACAACAACAACAAAAAGTGTTTGTTCTTTCTGGCTGTAGTTATTCATGGGTGGTACTCTATTTCAGAGCCTCGGCCTCTGTCTTCTCTCTTGGTAGGTCTTTGTCCCTTACTGAAAGAGAGACCATCTGTGGTGATCTTTCAGGAAGGTGGAAGGAAACTGACAAAGCAGGATGCGACCTAGACACTGACCTTGACAGTGCAAGTGAGGGTACCGAGTGCCCTGGCAGCCATTACCCGGAATGAAAAGCCATTATATGCAGATGAGCCCAAAGCAGAATCGAGGAGGCGAGCTGATCACTTTATCAAGCTATGTTTCCTGAAGTGTCCTCTGGGTGCAAGTTATCACAGCTCTGGGACACCAGCTGACCATCTCTTCAAGGGCAACAGACTCCGAGTAGAGAGCAACCCTGGTCTTTGGTAAGGGCTGAGAGAGATGAGGAGAGGGAAAAGAAACCTTGGTCATACAGAGTCTGTGAATGTTCCTCCAGGCTGTCGTAGTTTCATGAACTCCAACCAGTGTGGATCCATGGATAATATTAACAAAAATCTTCATGGTAAAGGGTGTTCATCCTCACCTACAGGGATGAAGCAGGTCTCTGTCATCCAGGTGAATTGGATTTAGTTGTTTGGTGCTCTGAACCACATGCAGTCAGGTGGCTTTATTGAAGACTTGGGTTGATGAATCATGGCCTTGTGGTCACAGGGAAAGCTTACCATGGCAGGTAAGCATGCGCCTTCTCAACACCTGGGCAGAAACCAGGAAGCTGTGCATCTTGCTGTCCCTGAAGTAGCCAGAATCCCCAGACTTTCCAGGCTTTGGTTTTCACTGTCGTCTGTGAATTGGACTTAAAGAGTTGTTCTGTTTTATGTGTCTGAAGTCCAAGTTTCTCTGTTCTCTGCCTTGTGAGAACGCAGAAAGTTTCCATGTGTCCATGGCCTGTTCTGGGCGGGTGTGCGAGCATTTGAACTCAAATCTTCGGGGACTCAGCCCAGACTTTGTCGTTGCCATTTCATAGACAGAGAGAGGATTTGCCCATGGTGTGAATGATGTTGTCTGACTCTAAACGGAATCAAAACTCCTCTCTCTCTCTCTCTCTCTCTCTCTCTCTCTCTCTCTCTCTCTGTTATGTGTGTGTGTGTGTGTGTTTAATATGCACATTGGGATCATAAGCAGGTGTGATGATCATTAACTTGATGGACTTAGTACAGATGAAATGAATCTCAAGGTAAGCTCCTAAGGTTCGATTAAGATAACAATACCCACCCTAAATGTGGGTAGTAAAATTCCATGGGCTGGGGTCTTGGACCAAATAAAAAGCAAGAGTTGAGCACCAGCATTAATCTGTCTTTGCTTCCTGACTATGACACACTGTCACCAGCTGCCCCATGTTCCTGATGCCAGGCTTTCTCTGCCACGATGGACTCTATGCCCTCAATCTGTGAGGCAAAGTAAGTCTTTCTTTCCTTGAGTTCCTTTGTCCAGTATTTTATCACGCCCGTGAGGAAAGTGACAATACCTCCGGTGTGAGGAACCTAATTGTAACCCCCATACTTGGGAGGCTGGCAAAGGGAGACAGTGAGTTTGTGGCCACCTTCTGACATAGTAACAAACACACAGAAATCAGTTTATATATGGAGTAAATCTGGGTTCCTGAAGTATTCAACACAGAAGAATCATATGACATGCAATTTTGTTTCTAGGCATATATCGTAAAGGATTCCAAACAAAGACCCAAAGAGTTACTGGTACACCAGGGTTCACTGCAGCGTTCGTCATGGTGCCAGAGCTGAAAATAATCCAAGAGTTTATCAACTGACTAGATAAACTAAGTGTAGATAAACATGTGGTAGACAATTATTCAGCCACACAAAGGAATGGTGTTTAATACATGCTGCTTCGTGAACGAGCATAGAAACAGTGTGCTAAGTGGTTGACTCCGGACATGCAAAGAACAAGCATAGCATGAATATTATGTATTGGGCTGCCTAGAACAGGTACAGCTATAGAAACAAAGCAGAACACCCCGGCCGAGGGAGAGGGAATGAGGAGTCATTGCTTACTGCAGAGCTTGCTCTGCATGGTCAAATGTTTTAGAACCGGGGATGGCGATTCATGCTTGTGATCCCAGCACTCAGGAGGCTGAGGCAGGAGGACTGCCAGGAGTGTCTTGTCAGCCTGGGATATAGAGTGAGACCTTGTCTTAGAAATAACAAAAACTGTTTTGGGAATAGATGGTAGTGATGTTACACAACACTGCATATGCTCAACACCATTGACATGCATGTGTTAAAGTGGCCAGGCGTCGTGGTCTGTGCCTGTATTCTCAGCACTCAGGAGGCTAAGGCTGGAGGGTCATGAGTTCAAGTCCAGCTTGGGGCTACATAAAATATGGGGAATATGGCGTGACCCTGCACATCTCCCTCCAAAGAAACAAAAACAAGTTAAAGTAAATGTGTGTATAAAATCTGCAATAAAGAAAGTCTAAAATAAAAGAACAAGGTGTGACAGATGGAGGGGACAAGTGGATCTGGACAGGAATCCTCCCTGTGCTGCCTCCCACCCGGAATAACTGGGCCAGCGACTTAACTTCTCTGAACTTTTCTGTTTTGAAGGTGGGGATAATGGTCCCTGACTCAGCGACCTGCTGTGGAATGTAAATCAACTATTACCCTCCCAGAGTTCTCTGCAGTGGGTGTCAGAGGTGGTCGGGGCACTAAGCCCTTAGTTATTGAACGTCTGTCTCTGTAGGGTTTGGACACACAGACACGGAGGGTCTCTCGCCACACGCTGCACTGCTGAGCAGTTAAACAATAACTGAGATTTTAGTCTTGTTTTGCAGGAACTGTTTTTTTTTTTTCCTTTTTTCTCTAACAGAATGTCGATGAAGAACCAGGTGTTTGAAAAATGTGGCTGTGTTAAGTTAAATGAGCCTTTTTTGGACTCCAGATGGGAGCCTAAAGCTGTTTAAAACCCCAGACGTTTTTTTTTTT